CCCCGCAGGTGTCTGTGAGCGACCAGATTCGCCAACTAAACGACGCCAGGAAGCTCGTTCTCGGTGACGTTAAGTACTACCCGACGGTCGTCAAAAGCATCCTACCAATCGTCGGTCCCACAGCGGGCGTCGAACTGCGCAGATGGGGCGCCGATTTCCTCGCTGAAGCCTTCGCGACGCCAGCCCTCCCCGGAAGCGAGAAGGAGACGATGCAGCTGTTTGTGCTGGACACTCTACAGACGATGGTCGAGACCCCCAACGAGGACGCCCACGTCCTGCGAAGCGCTATTCAGACGGCAGCCAGCATCTATCCCTTTGCGCTGCGATGGATGTGAGTGCGCATCTACTTCTTCGGCATGCTCTGGCTGCGTTGCGTGCATCGGAGGCTAATTGAATCGGTAGCATCAATAACTCGTACGACACATTTACATGGGAACGGATGGTCGCGATAAAGCAGAGGATCCTTCGAATTTGGGACGATGCCGACTCCACGGTGCGGATATGCTGTATCAAGTTTGCCCAGCGAGTTGTTCTAGCACAGTCGGCGGCGAACCCCAACGAACCGAGAGTACGATGAACCCAAGAGTATGCATTAGTGTTCTTACTGACTTAAGGTCTAGCGTGGCGATTCCCTTGACATATCACTCGACAAGATCCCGCCAAACCACCAGACGTTGGATGCTAGGACGCTCGACGCCGAAGGGGCTGGTTTACTGGACAGGATACTGAGCATACTGCAGGAGAACAGCAGGTAAGGATTGCAAGCGAGAGCGGGAAAGGTCCGACGATAGCTAACCGCAGCACCATGATGATAGTGATGTGTTGCTCGTTGATGCCACTTTGAACTGCCTGTCCATTTTGATCCGCAGTCGCCCGGGCACTGCCAATAGGATCCTCAATGCCGTTCTCAACTTCAACCCGTTGAAGCTTGCAAACTCGCCAATGACCCCTAGAACTCGTGTAATGGTTAAGTCCATGGAGAAAACTACTCGAATGCTCTTGATACATCTGGCCAAACGGTATATCCTTAGTCCCATGTGCACCATTCTGCTTGTTTCATCGCTAACCATTGTAACGAAGCGATCCTCATAATCCCATGGCTCAACGGATTCAACAGCACGTGGAGAGAATGATGCGCATGAGACACGAGATCTTTGATGAATCTGGCCGGAAACGTGCCCTCGAGGCACAGCAGCAACAAGAGGGTATAGAAGCCAAGCGCCAGCGGATGGCACCTCAAATTGCGACAACGCCGCAGATACAAATCACGCCACTACCGCCAGGCCCTCACAGTCTAGGCGACGTCTTTACTCTTACTGGAAGCGAGGGACTGAAAGCGTTTGACGTGGGCACTTTGCCTACAGCTTTGGCTGCCAAGATCAGCATCACCACGCTCCTTCGGACAGACGCCCAACTGCTCGCGAAAGCTGTCGAGGTAGGTCTGAGTCGATATATGCAGGGCGTGACCTTTACTAACTCTTTGCAGGGTATCCGAGGACGACTCAATGTGCTCGCTGCCCAACCCCCACCACAAATCGATCCCGAAACCGCTCCTCTTGGCGTAGAAGAGGACGACGATGAATACGAGCCAGATTTCTACGCCGCCGAGGACAACGAACAGATCCTCAACAAGCTTGACAGCGACCCTGTAACCAAACCAGATGACGGTGATCTCGGTCTGAGGACGTTTAGACTACCACCTCCACCAGCACTTACGCCTGAGTTGGCACTCAGTGCGGGCCAAGGCTCTGTGATGTCGCTTTTCCAGTTCGTCAAGACGTTAGAGGACCCTGCGAAAAAGTCAAAGTCTGGCATCAACCGATTGGCTGCCAGCACCAACGACCGAGAATCTTGGATCGCCATCATTACGCGCTTGGCCAGCCGTTCGTCGGCCGGCTTGGAGGGCGGTGTAAAGGACGAGGCCACTGGCCGTCTAGCTCTCGGTGACAGTATCCGGGAGTCCCTGTATACCTACGTCCTCGAGGACTTCCGCCGCCGTATCGATGTTGCCATCACATGGCTACATGAAGAATGGTACAACGATCAGCTGCAGAAGAAGCAGGATGGAGGCCATCCCCTGCACTACGAGAAATGGGCTCTGAAGTTGATCGACGGCTTCTCTCAGTATCTCAATGCGCAAGACAAGGTCATTACTCGGTTCTTGGGCGAGATTCCCGAGCTCAGCCCTGCCATCTTATCACGCGTCAAGTTGATGTGTCGGGATCCGTTGGTTGTGCCCCTAGCGTTGACAAGTCTGTTGTACCTGGTCATGATGCGGCCGCCGGCCAAAGACTTGGCTCTGGATACAGTGCAAGATATATGGACAGAGTGTATGTGCTATCCTTCGCTACCGTGTCATTAACGGTGCTAATTTTGTGTACAGACGAGGACGCACGGCCTCTGGCGGCAAAATACTTGGTAAAGTTCCGGCCGACCTGGTTAGAATCGGCGAAGGCAGCTGCAGAGGCTGGAACAGCACCAGCGACGAACAACACGACGGCTATCACAACATAGGATGACCATGATCAAGGCCGATCTCAAGCGACTGCATAGACCGTTCAAAGACGGCATTGAAAGCGGAATGGTTTTGCGGAGGATGGATGATTTGATAGCCGCGGAAACCCAAACGAATACCCAAGGAAAAACTGGAGCGAATCGGGCAGCAATTGGTCTCCGGGGCCCACTGACTTGAAGAGATGGAGAGAAAGCAGAGAAGGCATAAAAAGACAACAGGAGAATGCCACGGAAGCAAATCGGCGTGAGCATAGCATGGCATGGCATGGGTCTGGCGTTCGATCGGGGACTCGAAACCATGGTAAGTGTACGGATAAACTGTATACATGTAAAATCAAGGGCCATCAGAGGCCCGGAAAGCAAAGTCTGTTAAACCAGTTGATGTGTTCTTGAGGTGGTGACAGCCGGATACCTTCCTCTTGATCTTGTCATTCATACACGAGAAATTAGTGCAGGCTGCCTGGCCTAGCCTTCCCGTCCCCCTCCTGGCAAATAACCACAAGTATACCTAGCACCACACAAGAAAACGTATACGAGAGAGAAAAAAACATACAACACCAGGTATTCGCTGATCGTCACCGACTCAACTACTAATCTGGCCCTCATCAGCTTGTCTATGGGAGAGCGGACGGGATCCCGAATTCTCTGATGGGTGTGGTCGTATGTGTCTATGTTGGAGAGATGAATCCATTATATACCTTGGGTTGAGGCGTGTGTCCTGAAGCCATACGCATACGACACCCCCGCGGGTCGCATGCAGGACGGGCGGGAATGCGGCAGGCGACGGGCTGGAGCTGACGAAGCTCTCGGACACTGAGTGACGGATTCTTCCCCGGGGAAGGATGGAAGGAAGGAGGGGGCATGGACGGCCTCGGTCCCTCAGGTCTGACGTTAGCGTCGGTCGGTCTAGTGGTTTCCGGGGGACGTTTTGGTATGGCAGTACGGGGGGTTGGAGATGTTTTGCCCGGTGGTTGTCCGGTTTGGGCGGGCTTGGCGCAGTGTGTCATTTTATGTGATGTTGAAGGGTACGTAGACCGAAGAAACAGATACTGTCAAGCTATTCTGGGAGGAGGGAAGAGAGACGGGAGGGGAGCGGGATTTCGTTAGTATCACGAGCTTCGAGGTACGCTTAGCGACTTCGATTGGTCCAACCTAGGTAGGATCTTGGTAGGTCCTCGAGCAATGTCTACTGTTTCGGATAACGATGTCAATGTTGAGGTGCATAGATTGTAGATGTATGTGTGTGTATGTGTGTGCGTGTGTGTGTGTGTGGTCGTTCTCGCATGCAAGCTGCCGCGAGAAAGCCAATTGCCCCGAGGTGTGAACTAATTATAAAGACGGCGGATTGTGGATGGAGGCCGAACACCTGACGAAGCCCTCTTGCTGAGTTGAGACGGTATCTGTCGTCTTCCTTGTGTTCTTCCCGCTGCAGGCTCACGTAGTCTTTCGGGATGAGTATGGCGGGGGGCGCAGTTTCAAGATGGGATGAGGGTTATGGGAGGAGGATAAAGTTGATAAGCCTTGCGTTCAAGTAATGGGTTCCTTGAACGGTGCCCGGGAAAAGGGGGCCCAGAAACGATCGGTCCAGGGGGTAGGGGAGAAATCGTGTATTTGGGCTCAGCCGCTGGTGACTGGGATAGGGGTGTCTTCTTTTTTTTTCCTTTGACGAGGTGAAAGTGACAGTGAGATGCGGCTCAGATCTGCGCTGGGATTAAAGAGCTTTCAAGCTGGGGACGGGATGAGACGGATGCTGGTGGCGAAGGGGGTTGAAGGATGGGGTTACTGGCAGCTGGGTGTGTATCTTTACGATCTCAAATGTTGGTCTTTGAGATTGTTCTTGGTATTAGGGGACTGAAGGAAGAGAGAGAGTGTCTGCTAGGTAGAGTTTATTCAAGGAGGCTGGCGCATTACATACACAATGCGGTTATCCAGGCTCATATTCTAAGTGTGCGGTGTTTCGTGTGGCCATGTAAGGCGGCTTCTAGAGAAAGGGGGGCTATTCCTAGAATGAGATTTGAAGGGAAATTTAATGTTATGCGCATTTGTATCATGGAGATGTCGTTTTTCGCTTTAAGATGCGCCGTTGCCCCTTACCTGATGACTTCAGGGGGCTACCAGTCTACGTACATAAGTAGGTAGACACATGATCCATAATGGAAGCTGTAGGCACATAAAAAGAGAGCAATACATAATAGGAGGGCCGTGCATGAGCCATCCCCATGCAACCTTTTCCTGCAGAGGCTGAGTGACGCAGCAGCCGGGTTGCTGGGGAACAGGGTGCTCTCCTGCTTTTTAGTGGGGGTTTCAACTGGTTAGTCAGGGCAGATGAGTGGTCACGTCAGGGTTGTCATATCGGTCTGCCGGTGGCCCCCGTTTGCTGTGATTTGTTCGGTGCCCGGTGTGTTGTGCGTTGTGCCTCGATGCGGTGTGTTCTGCTGTTGGTGGTGTGCTTTGCCTTATGGTTGCATGTTCCGTTGTCAGTGTTGATGTTTTGTTCATGTGCCTGGCTAAGTAAGGCAAGGAAGTTATTTGATATTGTCTTGTATCAAAGACGGACGAAGAAAAGCAATGCAAAACCAGTGATCAAGACACAGCGGGTCCCCTTGGCCGAATTGATCATTACTGCGTACTCCGTCCACAATTGCATGCCCGTACTCAAGGCACCCGACCCTAGGAATTACCAAATGCCCGCTCTGATCTGCCTTATGCTTGTCTCGGCCGCCGTTCCTGCTTAGTTTTCATCTGGGCTTTTCCCTTCTCGCTCGACCCTCCTTTCCCACCTCCTGTCAGAGGAAGATTGTCCACACTATCTGACTGACGTAGGACTAGGTAATACAATACCTGACCTACCTGACCTTACGGATAACTCTGGATCCAATCCAGCCTTTTGTCATTCAAGGCCGAGATTCCCGTCCCATCTTTCTTCCCGTATTTTCTGCCTGTCTTTCTGTCTCTCTCTCTCTCTTCCTTGCATTGCCCTCGCCGCATGGGCTTCGCGTGCTTCTTCCCAGCTGTAATTGACCACCACCACACCCACCACGCTTGACCCGGACATCCGCCCATTCCAGGCAGTGCGTGTGTCTGTCTCTCGTTTACGGATATCGAGTTCAGTCTCTTCTTCCCCCAAGAAACCCACCGAACCCGCGCATCCAATCCCACGTCAGCCGCCGGTCCGACATCAGACGGGCCGCCGTTTTCGACCGCAGCTAAAATCAACCAACGCCCAATCCAAAAAAGACGAACGCGCGCGCCCCCAACTTTCTGCTGCAACCACCCACCACGCCAACACTAAACAATCTGCAAACTACCAGACCGTCGACCAGCCTACCTGGGCCACCACCATCAACAACCCCAAGACGACGACGACGACTGAAATAACATGAGCCAGAGACATGCCTAGTCGACTGCAAAAACTCAATAAACACGACAAGCAACGGCTCCCATCCAACCCTCCTCAGGTACCCGTACCCGACTTTGATATTCCTCCACAAGACTTTGTTCTCGGTAAGGGTCCCCGTCCTTGTGCACTCTTTGCTTGAAACCTCGCCCCGATCCACAACCCGCCCACTCCACGCCATCTTCTGTCTCTAGCCTCTCCCGACAACCTAAACCTTTCAGGAGTCTGGCACTGGCGCTATACCACTCCGCTGCCGTTCCTGGAACTTACGGAAGGAAAGGTGACCGTCGTGCTGACCTCGAACCTCCTCAAGACCTCCACACCTCTACCTCAACAACTTCCGCCAAAACGTCTTCTTCCCCGACGACAACGACGACGGCCCCATCGCTAAATGGTCTCTCGAGCAGTCGACGCACACTCGCTCCCCCTATCACCACCTCCTACTTCTCTCGTAACGTACGCAACAGTAGCTTGAACACGCGCATCGACGGAACCCACCAGTCGACGCCGAGCCCTTTCCCTTCTCCCCGAGGCGCCCCTAAGATGGTCCAGACCATCCGAACAGTACCCAGCTTCGAAGCCGCGAGCGACACGAGCTCCGACGCACCCTCACACACTTCCGCATTCTCCAGTTCCGTAAACAGCAACGCCAGCGCAGTCAGCATGGCATCGAATCACCAAGAAAGGACGCCAGGCGTCAAGTTAAAACACGACTGGCCTCACGCCAGCAACGACAACACCATCAAAATAGACTCAGCGAGGAGGGAAGAGACGCCGCCTGCCGACGATGAAAACGCCGCTCCCGTACCCGAAGGACAAGGCCCAGGCTGGGACTCGACCATTGGCAAGGCGGGTCTGGGAAAGACGGGACGGGTCATCAACAAGCTCGTCAGCGACAACGAAGCCCTAAAGCGTGACATCCAGATCGAACGGTTACGAGCCGAGGAGGCCAAGCAGGCCGCCAAGCTGGTAGAGGACAAGATGGAGCGCATCATCAGCGACTACGAGAGCCGCCTCCTCGAAGCGAGCGTCACCAAGACGCTCCTCAGCCGCAAGGAGCGCCAGGTCGAAACCCTCCACGCCAATGTGGAACTAGAAAAGAAGCGCACGGCGGACGCCAAAGAAAAAGAGCTCCTGTGGCGCGACGAGATGGAAAAGATGCGCGCCAGCACGACGAAGCAGGTCGAGGACGCAAACACCCATGCCGCGCTCATGGAGGGACGGTATAACGCCATCAGCTCGCACTGGAAGGACCAGGGCGACGAGGTGCAGCGCGCGCACCTAAAGCTGCGGTCCGAGATTGCGGGCGTCGTCGAGGAGCGGCGGCGCGACGACGAAAAGATTGCGGCGCTGCGGGACCTGTGCGACCAGCAGGACGGCAACATCAAGGAGCTGAGGCGGCAAAAGGAGGAGATCCAGAAAAAGTTTGACGAGTACAAGGCGCAGCAAGAATTCTTGCTCAAGGATATCAAGGCTGGCGTCGCCGGGCGGGATGCCGAGCAGGAGAGGTTGCTCGAGGAGACGAGGTCGACGTTGGCGAAGCTAAAGTGGGCGCTCAATGTGAAAGAAAACGTCAAGGATCTGCTGCAATGATTTGCGACCGTTGCGTTCAGTTCGAATGGAAGAGGGGGTCTCCTGAAGCCATTCCCTCTTGCCAACGGCTTCTCATCACTACGATCCGACCTCGCCGACCCAATCATGCAGGAAAAGCCTATTACACCCGGCAAGCCACTACTATAGCCATACCCTTTACTGTCAAATCCGCGACAGGCCTTGTCGCCGGCCCGTTTCGTTGCACTCGGAGATCTCGTCTACACACCACGCGTCAACGCGAGACGACGCAAAATAACAATTTGCCACGACAAACCACACGGTCAAGAAGAATGCCGTGCATGGTAAAACATACAAGGACATATCAAGAAAGGGTGACGCTCTGAGCCTCGAGCCTCGAATTTGGATTTTCTTCTGGCCTTCTCCTCTCTTCCGACTATTCACTTCTCCAAGACCGACCTCGGTCGAAATTTTACGTACCCAAATCGGGGTTCAATGGTAGAGCCATGGTCCAAAAGTACCTGGCAGAATCAAGAAAGGGGGTTTTCTGGATACAGAAGTTGGTTTTCTCACTTCGTTTTTTTCTCAAGCATAACCTACGGAAAAGGGGACATGATCCAATGCTCAGGTGAGGGGCATTTGAAAGTTAAAACCGGGCAATCAGTCCTCACGCCTCGACTTTTTTTTTTTTCGTTCCAGAGAACAATGGCAAATCAAAAAGACCAAGATGCGAAACTAGGGAATCTGGGAGTTTTCGGCGTTGAAGCTACGGCATAGGGGTATTTGGGTCGCATTCGTGGGGGTTATTGGGGAAGATGCCGAAGATGCTTCACACTCCCCACCTCCCTCCGGTTGACGTCTATAAAACGCTCTTTCCCCCTTTTTGGGGCGAGCCAGCCATGGGTCTTGATCAGATCTCGGGTCAGAAAGAGAAAAAGAGAATAGACTTTTTTTTTGTTTTATTTCCCGATTTTCCCAGTGATGTCCGACGAACCTGCTTTATGTCAGAGAAGGAGGATCCTACCTCTTTTCAAGTGTCACGACTAAAAGCCATGTGACTTGTACCTACCATCCCCCGACCGATTGCGCGTTTTACGGGGAGAATGGGTCGATGATGACGGATCATGATGATTATAGTGTCTGCGCCTCCCTTCATCAGCGTGCCGACACGCTTCATAAAGTCTTGCAAACGTTATGTAGGTCTAAGATAGTCCTCACTGGTTTTCCTCTGTACGTGGGAACAACATTGCTTGAGAGGTCGGCTTGCACAGTTCTTGGCCATGTCTTCAAATGGAAGTGACTGCATCGGCTTCAAAAGCAGTTCATTGGATGGTAGTACGACATGGAAGTATTACGTACGGCTGTTTTGACTGTATGGTTTGGCTATTTTACCTATATGCCACAAACACCAGCTGTTAGGCGCTCACGTACTTAAACACTTCCAGAGTCGTATTACGCCCAATTATGTTTGCCTGGCTAATTAATTAAAGCTATGAAGATCTTTAATCGTGGTCGACAACCACAAGAATCATCAATTATACATCATTGTACGAGCGCCTGCCGGCCGTTGGCAGTAGCACATAGCTAAGATATACGATTCAGAGTCTTTCCTGGAGATGATTGGAATTTGTTGGCCGGGGAATAGCCCGTTCTGCGGTGCTCAACATGATTGATCAAGGAGAGTTCATAGCCTCGGAAGTCAGACCCGATGCTGAAGCCCTGCCATGACCTCTTGCATATGGTGTTAAGCTGCTCGCTAATTCTCCTAAGTGGACGAGTCGTCTCATTGGAAGTCAAGTTCTCTCGACCTCGGAGACATGGTCAAGTTGCCGAGTGCATTTCGGCGTCGTTGTAAGTCCTGCCGAGAGTCCCACTTCCAACCAAGTCGTAAACGCCGCGAGAACGACGTTGACGCCGGGTTCCTTACCCGAAGCAGCTCGATGACTTTAAATTGAATCATAGTATAACAGTTGTTGAAATTTCGCCATCATGTAGTTCTGAAAGCCACGACCACTTTGATGAGCATGTCACTCGAATAGCACCGCTGCTCAACTTCGCGCATCTTGATGCCATATCCAAGTCAGACTCAAGCCCATACTAGAACCAAAATCAGTACTTATTACCATCCTATTACAAAGAACTACCTTCATCTCAGCCGCTGTCATAGTCATGGCCGGCCTCTCAACCTGTCCACCCCTGACCAGGGACTCGGTCATTCAGGCCCGCCAACTGATCAGGTCACACGTCCGTCTGACTCCCGTTTTGACGAACAAGACACTGAGCCGAATGGCGTCAACACCAAGAAACTCTGCCGCGATCGGCAGCGGCCGTACACCAGCGAGACCCATCCTCAGGCTCTGGTTCAAATGCGAAAACATGCAACGCACCGGCGCCTTCAAAGCTCGCGGGGCCTTCCACGCCATAAAGAGACTCCAACAGGAGCCCGGATGGCTCGAGAGCGGCGGCAAGGAGAAGGGCGTCGTAGGGTACAGCGCAGGTAAAAGTCTCAACGCCTTGATTCCCTCCTCTAATCTCCCGCTTTACTGATCGAATTGGTCCATCTTTCAGGTAACCACGCCCAAGCCCTCGCCTTGGCGGCCGCAGAAGACGGCATCACGTCTCGCATCGTGATGCCCACGACGACGCGCCCGAACAAGATCGCAGCGACGAAAGGCTACGGCGCCATCGTCGTCTTCTCGGGGCCGGGATTCGCTGGCCGCGAGGCCGTCGCGGCCGAGATCGTCGCCGAGACGGGCGCCAGGCTCGTGCCGCCTCACGACCACCCGGACGTCATCCTCGGTCAAGCGACGGCGGGACTCGAGTTCCAGGAGCAAGTTTTGGAGCAGCAGCAGCAGCAGCAGCAACAGAACTCCATCGAAGAGGGAGGAGGAGGAGGACGACGACGACGACGAAAAGGTCTCGACGCCATCATCGCGCCCTGCAGCGGCGGCGGCCTCCTCTCCGGCACAGCCCTCAGCTGCGAGGGCACCGGCATAAGAGTCTTTGGCGCGGAGCCCGAGTTCGAGGGCGCCGACGACGGGCGGAGGGGGTTCTACTCGGGCGCGAGGATCGTCGCCCACACCAAGACCCCCGACACGGTGGCGGACGGCCTCGCGGGCGCCGTCAGCGCCACGCCGTGGGGCCTGATCCACGATCGGGGCTTGGTGAGCGGCATGTACGCCGTCACCGAGGAGGAGATCCTCGCGGCGACGCGGCTGCTCCTGGAGAGGCTCAAGATGTGGGTCGAGCCGAGCGCGGCGGTGCCGTTGGCTGTCGCGTTGTATAATGAGGAGTTTCGGGGCATGGCGGAGCGGGAGGGGGGTGAGGAGGGGTGGGATCTGGGGCTTGTTGTTAGTGGTGGGAATGTTGATGTTGATGGGATGGTGAGGCTCTTCTCGTAAGGCAGGAGGCACGAGACACTTGGAAGAGGGGGGGTGAAAAGATGAAGGTAGGTAGCAGCGTGTGAAAAGTCACATGTGACGTTCATTGATATACAAATATGGATAGTACTTGAAGTGCCATCTTCATCTTGTCTGTCCTCTTACCCAGGCAAGAGCATCAGCGGACTTGTCAGGGCCACCGACGAGAGCTTGGCCACATCTGAACTATAGAGATAGACCGCCGCGAGTACACTGTGAAGAAGACGGGAGTCATGGGAAAAGATGGCCATCATGACGCTGGTCTGTTGGCAGTAAGTTACCAGGGCCAGCTTGATCTTGCTCAAGTATTGTAAATATATTTCAAGTCAAGAACTCCCTTCATCATATGTAGTAGCGTGTGTTCAAGGGGGTAAGTAGTTCAGATGATGAAGCTTTCTTTGGGGTGATAGTTATGACTAGAAACCACATAATGAAATTTTTGATAATCTAGAACCCCGGCTACCAGATGATGTTTTCATTGCTCTCTTATTTCCACGGCCCGGAGTAAAGATTGAGCCGCGGAACTCACCGTCAATGGCTAGCGATATTCGGGAATATAAAACTTCCAAAATCCAAAAGGTATGAGCTATTCAATTCCAATGATTATCATGATCAGGGCTGTCAAGTATACATATGCATCCCCAGCATTTGCGTTGGTGAAGACAAGCTTCATCCAACATCACGATCTCAAAGTTTCGGCCTTACCCTCCATAATCCAGCTTTTGGCCATGGCCTCCAAGCAAGCAAGCTCGAATCCTCAACGGGATAATCGGCCGGTTGGCCCAATGGCAAGGCGTCTGACTACGATTCAATCAGTTATCAGGAGATTCTGGGTTCGACCCCCAGGCTGGTCAAAATTCTTTTGCGCTTGCTTGCAGATTTTTTTCCTTGACTCGATTTTTTTTTGGGCGCCGGTGCGTTGGTGGGAAAACGCATGTCGGGAGTGGGCTGGCCGGGCCTCTGACCAACCAGAATCATCTATTCCGACGAATTTGGAAGAAAACCTAAAACGGTGTGTTGGATTTTTTTGGAGAAAGGTATCCGGTATCCATCCGTACGGATAGCTTGGACCGGGACAGGCGGGTCTTCCACCGTTTTCCCACCGACGTCGAAAAGGTATCAACCCATGTGTCTACATGGGACGGCCTGGGCGCGAGAGAGCTTCGCGCGTTTATAGCGTGTCGCGATCAAAGTTTCTCTATAATACGTGTATTCGCGACGGGTACAGAGTACTTCGTAGATGTTCGCTACTTTTCAACGGCGATGCCGTGATGTTGCCTGACCACGCCCCCCTTTTCCTATTTGAGGAACCTTTCTAGAAGGGGGGTGGACGGACCTTCTATGCTATCAAGGAGAAACATTGCGGGGGATAATGTGGTGACTTGTATGAACCCAGGGCGCAGGGGAAGGGGGTGGGAAAAGGGGAGTGAACGTGCGAAAAAAAAAAAAAAAAAAAAGGCTGAAAGTCAGGAACGGGTACGGATATCAATCAGTAGGATCGTGACTTCGTGAGTCCCGTTGTGACAAGGAAGGTGGGCGCGGGTATTCCGTTGTCATCTATCCATTCTTCTCTTGAATTCTCGCGAGAAAAGAAACTGACTCGGGTTGGGGGGTGGGGGACCAGAACAGGAACCGGGGCCGGGGGCCGGTGGGTGGGTGTGTTTGCTCTCCTTGCGGGGCCTTGCGGCCGGAGGAAGCAGCGAGATCATCATCCTTCACAGACCTGGCCTTCAGGAACGGGAGACCGGGGCAAGGGGGAGGGCGGAGGGGGGAAGTTCAGTCCGCAGGGCGGGACCATGTGTTGCGAGAATGGCTAAATAGATTGCTCATGTTCGCCTTGACCGATGGCGATCCAGGAACCACAGAGTACTCCGTACACTATAGAAGAATCAAGGAGACAAGAAGAAGCTTTGGCCAGCTCCCTTGTCCGTCATTGCCCATCAGAGAAAGTTTTCTCCATGGGCCCCCCCGTGTAAAATCATGCCGATTAAAGGCAGGGCCCATGGGGGTGATGGACTTGACGGATCATCATGGACAGAGGTCATCCACAAGAAGCATGTCGGGAGACGAACAAGGTCATGGCTACGAAATACAGTCTCTACATAAGAACGGGGGAAAAAAAGAACGGGGACTTTTTTTTCTCTCTTCTTCTTTTGGCCGGGTGCCGGGATCCAACATATATCTCAGGAGTCACAGCTGCCCGTCTGATCCATAGCCGGCCGGTCTTCATGGACACGAGAATGCTCCGGGCCCCGAAAGAAGGTCGGTGCCCCCCCCCCCTCCCGGGCGCTTCCTGTTCTGTTCTGTTCTGCCCGGGCTCCCATGCCGAACGTTTCCGTCGGTCCTTCGTCCCGATATCCCGTGCTGCCCGTACGGAGTAAGGTGAGTAAGGTAAGGTGAGAAGACAGCCTTGCCAAGGTAAAATGGACATCGGCGATTAGATAGCGAGCTCACGCACGGCTATGAGCACTTTCGACCACGCTTGAGATGACACAAGGTGATAGACGTCAGTTGAAAGCAAAGCAAGTCAAAAGGTCTAGAGCAAATCATAACTGAAGTAGAGATATTACATTTTTTTTATACATGAAGATATGCCATGTATGCCCAAGATAAGCCCATGCTAAGCAAGAAAGGGCCTTCTTTTCTAGAGTTCGTATGATACAAATGTCCTTGTTCGGCTTTCAAGTTATTCATCGTTGCGTAAGGAGATGTGTCCCATCTTTTCTCCAAACACTTTTCTTTCCCCTTTTCCGCCCCGACATCTTTTTTCCCCCTCCAGGCAGCTTCGGACGCTCTCTCTTCAGTCATCCCTGACGCTTTTTCCCGCTAGGAAAAGAGCCACAAAAAAGTAGAAAAAATACAACACATCAGATCTCGTACATAGGCCATTGAAAGGCCTTCAGCCACAGGAACATGAAATCATCGACGCCTTCTTGAGCTCACAAGAAGGGTCCTCGTCGAAATCTTTTGTCCATCTTGCCAGCCGATACACCCAACACCCTAAAAAGGTAATTTAGGCATTCCAGTTGTTCTGCTGTACGCCAGCCTCGGGCTTCGTCTCCTTCTGCGCCTCCTCAGCCTGGGCGTGCTCGCTCTCGACGCGCTCCTCAACCTCCTTCGACGAGTCCCTGTCGCTGCGGCGACGAGGGGTGGAACCGGGGGCGTACCCGGTAGTCAGCTTGCGGCCGTGGATCTCAGTCTGGCTGAGGACCTCCATGGCCGCCGTCGCCGCCTCGACGGAGTGGAAGTCGGCGTGGGCGAAACCGCGCGGCCAGCCCGTCGCGCGGTCCACGGCGACGCGGACGTCCTTGACGCCGTCGAGGTTGGCAAAGAGGTCGTTCATGTCTTTATCTGAGGCCTCGAAGGAGATGTTGCCGACGTAGACGGTCGCTGTGGGAGGGCCGTCGTAGACGCTCTTTCTGGTCGCTCTGTTGTCGTTGTTCCTCCCGCGGCTTTCCCTGGCGGGTCTGCTTGCGTTTGCGTCGCGGGCCTTGGCAACGATGCGGCGGCCGTGCCAAAAGGTTCCGTCGACGTTCTCGGCAGCCTCCTTCACGGACTCGGGGGTCTTGAAGTAGACAAAGCAGTAGCTAAAAGAGAAAAGATCCATAGGTTAGCCCCTGATCGACTTGAGATGGACAGTATTCACATGTGCGTCTCCTCATCCTTGCAGAACGGAAGCTAGAACCATGAATGGGGAAGGAAGATATGAAGCTGGAAGCTGCGTCAGGGGATCCAAGGTATTTTGAGACATACCTCTTCTTCGGAGGCATCGAAACGCCGACAACCTCGCCGTACTTGGAGAAAGCCTCGCTCAGCTCCTCGGGCTTGACATCGAAAGAATAGTTTTGGACAAAGAGGACGTTGTCGCTGGGTTCCTGTCTCCGGCCCCTCTGCTCGGTACGGCGGATGGCTCCCTCGGCTTGGTCATCTTCACGGAACGCAATGGAGCGGGAGAATGCTCTCGGCGCCGCGGCGGAGAAGGATCTGGCGGCGGCAGCGGCGTTCAGGGCACGCAGAGCAAAGGAGACGGTCTGGGACTTGGGCGCAGCGGCGGCGGCAACCGAGCTGGTGAAGGCGGCGCGAGTGGCCGTGCGACGGATGGACTGCCTGACGTAAGGGAAAAGATTGCAATTAGCTTGCTTTAATCATGGAATCGCTGCCAAGTGCAACATGGCCGGAACAATCTGTAGCAGAGTACTTACATATTGGAGTAATGTGATGGGAGAATGGTAGACGGATTGATAGATTAAGTGAGAGAGACCTGGAAAGGGTGAAGGGCGAGATGATGTGGTGTGCAGATTGAGATTTCCATGGGCGAACGAGAAATTTTGGGATTACCGTGTCGAGGGTCGCGGCGATAAGATACGCTAGCCTCATTTAGACTTAGCGTATTTCGGCCGAGTACCCACTTGGAGTCCAGCTATGGAACCTTGGCCAAGCGGCGCATCATGCCTCCTTGTTAACGCATGTCAACCTTAACTTTTCGTCTTCGCCATTCATTCATACAATGAGTCGGTCCAAGATTATCATATTGCAACAGAACTGATATTCGCAGTTATCCCCCACCCCGCCTGGGAAGAGATTGTGATTGGTAGCTTCCATGGCCACTCGCTTCCAGGGAGAGACCTAAGCTCGTCTCTGGGAAAACAAATTCAAACGCTGGTTTCCCTTCGGTATCCCCCACCTGACTAAATAGGAGAGGGATGATCCATAATTTCCATCAGTCATTGAACCTGCCACCGAGTTTCCCTATATAATTTTTTTTTCTTGCCGGAGTACAGCAATGGACCACACAGCATGCACCCTAGATGCCCGCATCGCCGTCCCATTGACCAACGCGTAGGTATATACACCTGGCTCTCCGTACCGTTCCCGCCTCGGCCTTCTTGAGCCTTGCCCACCCACCCCCCAAAACAAATGAAACATAGGACGCCGTCTTGCTTTTTTTATCTACTGACCAAGGACGAGGGTATATTGTCGTCCCCCGGTATCAGTAATGAACTGGAGGAGCTGATCTCAACGGAACCTGTGAGCCAGTGGCACACTCAGGTATCGATACATTCGACACAAAAAGAAACAAACAAACAGCCCGCCAAATGGCATTGTGGAGCATAACGCATTCCAACAGAGGCACAGAACTGTAATAGAACACGCAGACCTCCATGTGAGGCCGCGAACATGTGTTTGGGTATAGGTAGGTTGATCCTGCAGGCTCTTTGCCTACGGGGTTGCTGCATGAGCGGCTTGTTGGCCCACGAGTGTGTGCCGCGGCGAGTGCCTGGGGCACGCTGCGTCGCATGATATGGTCATGTACATGATGACGGTTGATTCTTCCTTGCCTCTTCAGACTTTAATACGGGCTCAGTACCTCTCGGGACGATAGCCGTTAACTCTGGGAGCCTCGTACTGGACGCCCGTCATGGAGTCGGGGTTGGGCATGTTGCCGTTTAGCCCTCGGATTGGCGGCAACTCACGGCGAGCCGCGTAAGGATCCGCCTGATACCCTACCGCTTGGGGGGGAGGGACTTGAGATTGAGGCGGCGCCTGGCCTGTGGGGGATTGCTGTAGCCTCGTGTTGTGCAACTCATTCTGGAGACGCTGAATGTCTACACGCAAGTTGTGGTTGTCTTGTCGGAGACCGTCGTTTTCCTGAGCCAACGTTGTGTTTTGCGACTGCACCATGCGCATGACGTCTGCCATTCGTTGATGCTCGGAAATGGCTATTTCAGATCAGTATCTGCTCCAAAAACGATACGGTTGCATGTGACGAACCTTTGGTAAGAATTTCCCACTTGGAGGCTTTTGAACCTCGTTCCTGTGGCATCAAGTCACGCAGTTGATCGAACAATTCCTTCATCTCAGTCCTTCTCTTGCGTTCCGCCAACTTGTGACTCTTACGCAGCTCGGGCGTGCGGCTGTAGGGTTGTGAGCCCGTCCGCGAGGCTGCGTCGTCGTCGCGCAAATCCCCAATTTGCTTGTGCTGCAACGAGTGGTGATGAACCGGAGGGAAGTCGGAAGAGGTGCTTGATAGACGGTTGTTGAAGTCGGCAGGCTCGTCCAAACGTCTTTGGCCAGGCGGTAGTCTCGATTCCGTGGTGAACTGGCTGCTAGCTATGGACTCGGCGATACTGCTACGTCTAGAGTCCAAGTATTGCTCGTGGTGGCTGATTCGTTGTATCTCTTCCTCTGGGAAAGCCCACGCCTGACCCTTGGTGGGCTCCGCAGCTCGGGCGATGTTGCTCGTCGCGGGGCCTGTGATGGCCGGTGCGGTCCGGATGATCTTTGGGTGCTCGGGGTTCCTGTCGCTGCTGGGCTGGTATCCATTGGAGATACGGTGTACGGAAAGATTGTCCAAACCGGGGCGAGGGTTGCGCTGCTGGTTGAGAGTATTCTGAATTGAAGTAGTCGACTGGTTGTGACTAGCGTAGGGCGAGTTCCCGCCCAATCTCATGTCGTGAAAACCCTGATTTATCCGGCTGTCCACACTCTCTCTTCGAGATCCAGGCCCCATGATGTCGTGAACCACTCCAGAATCCAGGGATGTCGGGCGCTCGAATCGACGCGGGTCAGCACTGCCGGGGGTTGTTGGCGATACCATGGCGGCGACGCTCATGTTGCTCTGCCCAGGCGACACCAGCTGAGGGATCATGTTAGCCGTGACAGGCGAAGGTGTCTTGTCTGCCAGCGAAGATTGGTAGCCCGACCCCGTGGGGCTGAGGGCGTGGTGCACAACGCCTGATGCCGCAGAGTTATCTATGGGAGAAAAAAGCGTTAGTTGCGCCCCCTCCAACGCGAGCGTTTCTATCTTTTCATGTCCAACGTACGCTTGCTTGAGGCATCTGTACTCGAATAATAAGCCGAGTCGCGGTTTTCGTCTGGGTTCAGTACCCCTGCTAATCCCGCAGGAAGCTTCTGTGAAGCTGGTCGCTGTCCGTCCATGTTGTATTTCGATGACTATCTCTGGTATGATGGCAAATGAAGCGAGACCAATAGTCGTCGTGATATACTTGGATCGAGTTCGGTGGTCGAAATGGAGGTCAAGTTAAAGAGTGGCCAGAGCGAGGCGAAGCGAAGCGAGGCACAGGAAGGGTGATAAAGTAGGCAGAGCCCAGTGTATAGCGAAAACGTGGCGAACAATTAGATTGTCCGGGGTCGAGTTGCGCTGGACATGCGAAAGCAGCAGCCTCTCTGTAGGCGTCTGAGAGCGCAGGCTGCTCGATTGGTGGGATTGTTTGGATAACGAACGGAAGGTGTTGATGAGAGGGGGAAGAGAGGCGCGGTGAGGGTGGGATGGAGAGGATTGAATAAAGACGAGGCCGAGGAGCAAGGAGGAGAGGTCTAGTAAACTCGAAGGTCGGCCGGCGTACAGTAGGTAGAGAGGCGAGTGGAGGAGAAAGACGTATCGAAGCAGGCAGTTTCAAGATTGGGAAGACGGTAGCTGGGGGTGGAGGGGATAAGATGGAATTGAGCAGGCGGGAGCGCTAGGTAGGCAGGGTGGGTGGGTGACTTGTTGGCCTGAGCAGACGAGCAGAAGGAGACTCAACCCGGAAGAAAGAAAGCTGGGATCCAGACTGCGAGAGAAAAAAAAAAGAGAGAAGCAGCGACAGGCGGCGGCCTTGGAACCGGGGTAGGAGGGGAGGAGAAGAACAGAGGATGCACAGGATAGGACAGGACAGGATAGGACAGGATAGGACAAGCCCGGGACAGGGCAAGACAAGACAGGGTTTCTGGGTACAGGGGAGGGGGGAGTGAAGCTAAATCAAAGTCTCTCGCTCCTCTTTCTGTCTTGTCTGTCTGCCTCTGTTTCTGTGTGTACAGACACTGTCTCCCGTTTCCTTCTCTCTTCTCTCCCCTCAAGCTCTCTCCCTCGCTCTCTCTTCACCCCAGTGCTTTTTCTTCTTAGTCTTTCGCATCCATAGCGACTTGGATGAAGTGTCGCTGCTGCTGCTGCTGCTGCTGCTGCTGCTGGAAAGAGAGCGAACGGCACTGCTTGAATTTCGCTACTACCATCTACCCAGTACCTAGATAAGTACGCACAAAGCGAGGTATATTGTACAGTACAGAGTACCGCTCAGGTAGCTAGCTACCTCTCTGTCTCTGTGTCTATATCCGTAAGTATTTCTGCCCAGCAGCGGCAAAAACCACACATGAGCACCCCTCTTCTCTCCGCCAAGGAGGAAAAAATAGACAGCGGAATAAATGACAGAGAAAAAGGTGGGTAGGTACTGAATCATTTGCGGCTTGCCCTGGCGCCCATACGGCTCTGACATTGTTATCATGAAAGCCGCCGTCTCCAACCTCTCGTTGAGTCTCAAAAGTAGAATCGTTGCTGCTACATACCTTATGGTAAGTACGGATAGGTACTTATTCCTGCATCTTTGCCTTCGCTTTCCGCAGCTGTGGCCTGCCCGCTCGAAAATAAGGTATGCCAACGTATTGTAGCGCTACTCTGGGCGGGCAGAGCCACCTGGAATAAGGTGCAAGTAACCCGATCGAGTGCAGGTATCCATGCCTTCTGCGGCGTGCCAGTCGATTTCGCTGGCTGCTACCCAGATAGCTCACGCCTCCGAGGTAGACCCAGAGCATCGCATAGGGGGGGGGGGGTCTGGCGTTCGCAATGAGGCAGACGAGAAAAGTACTTTGCCCTCAGGTATTCAAGACTCACTTTTCTCTGGACGTGCCTTGGGGGTGTCACCCCGTCCACCTCTCTGCCATAACCATGCCGCACGGCGCCACGGTGGACGACGTGGCGGCACAGCCGAACCCTGCTCGGGGGTTTTTGGGCACGCATGGGCGCTGTTCACGTTTCTTATTTCCCGGACTCGGCGGTAGCGAGTACTTGGGATGTTTGTCCAGCCCCAAGGCAGCCATCCCTGTCCTGATACCAGCATGGCAAGCCATATGGCCTTGCTAATGTACCCATACACACGCCGTCCGCCGCACGCCCTCGTGGATGTGCCATACCACGCTGGGAAGCTCGAGGGGGAGGACGTCTCCGATGGAAGTGGGGTCGCGGCCCTCACATGCATCGAGCATCTGTTTGTCGTGTGGCATCCTGGGGAAGGTTTTTGCTAATAGCTCTATGTGGTGTGCGTGTGCGTATGCATCCGCGTACATTTGTCGTCCAAGTGTAAGTAGCTGGACAAAAGCCTCCCGTCTGTTCAACTGCTCGACGGTTTAGTGGACTCTGGGGCATCATACAGGGCTCCGGGTCCGTACCTTACTCTGCCCCTTCCAATTTGTGCCCTGCAATTTCACAGTCTTGTGTTGCTGTTCGCCGTTATGAAGATCTTTGGCAGTGGCATTCTTCTCCCTTCTAGCACGCTCAAAGCGGACCATAGAGCTGCGCATCATGAGGATTAATGCTGCATTGAGTACAGCAGGATGACAGCGCCAGCCGCAATGGCCATATCGCAATGTGCGTATGCGTACTTGAGCGTGTGACGCTATCGGTAAACGGTTGAAATGACGACTGTGCTCTGAAGAAACAACAGTGCCAGGGCCGCACCATGCCATGCCGTCGATGCCATGGCTAGCCAGATCACGCCGGTATGTTGGTCAGATCAGGCCGCCCCAAAGACGGGTCTCGGGCAGCGCAAAATAGGTATTTGCAGGAAAGGAGAGCCCAACAGCAAAAGGGGTCGAAAATGACGGCGGATCTGATGACGGGCCCGCTGTTTTTATGTTTCGTCTCACAATGATCGAGACCAAATGCCACCCAGTTCGGGGCTTGCGAACTGGCGGGGGCCAGAAGAAACTTGAGAGGCTTGGCGGGCCTGGTCTGCGTGACTGCAAGAAAAGGCCCATCAAGATGAAAAAAAAAAAGTGAACAAGGCCGGACCGATCGTATTGGCATTCCAACAGTGCGCAACAAACGCCATCACCGTCATCTAGGCCTCGCTCTTGCGCTTCGGACTCGGAATCCGGTCCGGTCCCTGTACCAGACTTCAATGTCGGGGTTGTTCGCAGCCATGCCATGATCGCCAGTACCAGGACAGGTATCTGTAGGCCGTCGTACTTTTGTCGAAGAACCTTGGCAACCCGGTTGAGGAACTTGGGATGCCATTCTAGGCACAGCGGTCAAGGGGCCGGCCGAGAATTCCAGCGGTATCAACAATGACCGAGGCCTGATGCTGCCCTATATGTGACGACTTTAACTCAACATGGTGTCAATTTTCGGTCGAGTGGTTCTTTGCAGCAATGTGCAATAATTGACGAGCTGCTGCGGTCCATGTATTTGCTTGTCCTTGGTGCCTGAGCCCGCTTGTGAAATGCAGGTATGTTGTATACATGGGCATAATAGGCTGCTAATGACAGTAGTGCGTTGCGCTGCGTCATGGTATTGGTGCGATGGTCATTCCGTGCAGGCATGCGTGTGTAGCAATTGATATCCTGAATGCCGACTTCATCGTGAATTGCGGATACACGCAGCACCGACGCCGATGGGGTTTTAAAATCTTAGGCCCAGGGTCCCCTCATCAACAAATCCGTATCCTGACTGAAGGGATTTGGGTTAAGTAGTCGTAGGAGAACAGGGCCACCAGCCAACAGGGCTTGCCCCCGGTCCCGGGGACGAGACGGAAGAGGACGGCGTTTCTTGTCATCCCGGTTGGACGGCGGCCAGAGTGACAGAGCCAGCATCGAATCTAAAGATGGTCCAGTGGTCAGACCAGGGTGTCAGTCCTCGAAACTCAAGCCTCAAGTTGGTAGCCGTACTCCGTTGTGTATCTGTAAATGAAGAGAGAACAGCAGTGGACGGACTGCCCTTTGGTGGGAGGCACTGTAGGGCAGGTGGTGGTGAAGGTGGGCACCATCAGCAGGGCCTGGCATAGCATGGCTACCGCGTGCGGAGCTGGTAGCGGCCATAGCATATCAAGACGGGCCTCGAGGTGGTTGCTTGCCATGCTTGCCTCGTGCGTACCGGGCTGGGAACAAGCTGGGAGCGGCACCGTTTGCGACGGGCGATGGCGATGGGCGATGCGGGATGTGCACGTCCATTCGTGGATGACGGATCCATCCCGCCATGTCAATATTCCAGGCGACTGGGTTTGAGCCGATCGGTCCCATGTGCATTCCATGCGGTACAGCGCCTGTGAGGATGCCGTACCACCACCGACAAAGGTTCCTGACCTAGGACTAGTCGGCCAAGCGCGGTGGATAGACGTAAGCAGAGCGCACCTCCGTCGGCCGTCCAAGCATGAAAACGATGGGCCGGGGGAGAAATCGTTCTTGGTCAGATCCAGCCGAGATCAGGTCCGTGAAGAAGCGGCACGAGAGGGAGGCAAGGAGGGACCCGGATCTTTGGAGCCAGAACCCTGAAATCCGTGTCTCGGGGTTGTCTGTTTGGTTTTTTTGGTTTTGCCGAACCATGGTAAAGCAACATGTGGTGATGCAAGGTAGACGGTGATGGCGTCGGATACTGGGCACCAACGTGGCAATCACCATCCGTAGCCAGCTTGGCAGGTCATATGGGATTGCATCGTCTGTCCTTTGCTCGGGGACTGTAGTGTAGGAAGTCAGGAACAGAGGCTGCTCCACCAAAGACCGTCGCGAGCAATGTTGATATGGTCTGTACGGGTACACATTTTGTGCTTGGATGCTAGTTACTTCGGATTCTAACACGACGGGTGAGCAGCTTTAGTGTTGTTTTTCTTTTTCCCAATCTCCTTTGGTGATGTGCGTGTGTGTGTGTGTGTGTGTGTGTGTGTGTGAGCGTGTGAGAAAATAGGGTATTGGCTCTAACGTAGGGGGATGCAGCACCGTTTGTCCAAGATCAGGCAAGAATGCTCCCGTCGTTAGTCCATGGAGCCTTCCCGGGCAATTTCGCATACCTTCCACTTCCTTCCAGGTCTGCTTCGCACTTTCCGTCAGGACTCCAACATTCGTGTCTGAACCTCTGAGGGCACAATGTCTGCAGATCAAGAGCAAGGTAGGTAAACACTAGGTATCTGAGGGAAAAGTGACCAGCAGTAGCCAAGGAGTGAAGTTGAGCGAGAGCTCTATAGCAAGTGGAGGTATCACGGTATGTCGAAGTCCACCCAAAGGGTCTTTAGTGTTGGCGTCTTCGTCTGTCGTGGCATGCAAGACAATAAGATACCCCACGTTTGATTCGGTGTTTCCAAATCGCTCGACAGGTCTTGCGAATATTGGCCAAGTGTCTCTGTCTTTTTTCGAGGGCTCTCGCATGTACAGTGTATATGGATACACACAATAGGTCTGGGTACCGTTTTCTTAGTCCTTTTCCCTTCCCGCAGCCAGTGACAGATGAGGGCTAGACCGTCGAGTAGACTTGGAAGTTGAGACACTAGGCTACTACCGTCGCTGAGTATTCTTTCTGTGAGCTGTACAGGTCAACAGGCCGTGTCCCGGAACTGGTCATGTCCGCGCCTCGGTGGCTGGGTCTAGAGGCGGCTGCGTTGGGATAGTGCAAGAGGCGTGGTCCTGTGTGTGTTGAGAGATGGCGCCTGGCTCCAGGTACCGAGGGTACTGACTAGGGAGCCTCGTGCCGAGTGGGGGAAACTGGTTTAGTTTTTCTTTCCGTCTCTTTCTTGTTGCTCGCTTTCTTTTCTCTCCTTCGCCAAGGCACAATATGGTCCGCTTGATAAAACTGGCCGACTACGTACGTTAGCCCAACTGGAGAAACGGCGGTCGTCTTCACGTCAGTGTAGACTCGAGCTTGGCGACTTATTTCACAGCGCCAAGTGCGACGCAGTCCGTCTTGTTTGCGCCTGATGATTAATATCCGAGGTACCTCAAGTAAGGGAAGCTTTTGAGGCTTGGAAACACCGCATGCAGCAAGGTATTTTGTAAACAGTGTGTGAAAGCCTGGCTGATTGGAGCAGCTTGTCGAGAACGCCCATCACAAGGGCAAAAAGTACGTACCGACGATACGAAGCGCAAGGCGAACGACGGTGGGGAGAATGGTGGGTTCGGCAGGCACGGAGGGAGAGTGTGTGGGTGTGGGGAGGGCGGGCATAGAGGCTTCAGCTTGCTGCTTCAAGCTTGTGAGCTTCCACGACACTGAGCAGTTTCTGGACAAAGCGCCTCGGACACCTCCCTTAGTCAGCCTCACAACTCCAGAGCACGCACCTCCTCTGGCTCCTGCAAGGTGCGTGGGCTTAGGGATAGCCGTCACGCATTGTCCCGTCTCGGGTGTCAAGGTAAAAGTGACAAGTGGCTGATCTGATCTGCTGCACAGCCTCCTCCTCTCCCCAAATCTTATGTAATGAGCTATGCTAGCTAACCGGCAGCAACTTGTCTATTCCGTTCTCCATCGTGCCATCGCTCCTCTGGATCCCATGTGCGATATCCCCGATGACCACGTGCATTTTGTGCTGAATAGGTACGAGTACGTTTCTGGCACGGTACCCGTACAGAACAGATACTCTGCACATGCAACGCTAATCATGCCTTGGTCATATTCGTCCGCGAGCCAAAGTGCCTACCGCAGTGATCGTCGGGCCGTATTTGTCTACTTGAGGTCTACGGATATTGTAAGTATTTTGACCACTCACTTCTGAGCTATCCGTACTTGACGTCGAATTTCCTGCCGTCATCTCCCCACACAAAGGTCGTTGACAGCATGAGGAAGTACCCGTACCTGCCCTCGCAGGCTCGCTCCTTCCAGCAAATGTCAAGGTTCATCCATCCTCACGAAGCCGCCCAACCTTACCGTGCGGACACATCCAACCTCATGCTCCGCTACAACACCATCTCTGCACTTTATCTGACGGCCAGGCACCCTTTTCGCCATCCCCAGTCCCTGTCAGTTTCCGTCGTGGCATCGGCGCCACTTTTCACAGCTCATTATCCTGGCCTCTGCGAATACACACCGAGAACCTATCTGTACCAAGTACTCCGTGTTCTGCATACCACCGTGTATACGGGCACTCGAGCTTGAAGCAACGCAGCCCGGATGAGAGTTCCCCCTCTTCATTGCCGCAATCCCTCCCGCCCGGAGGCTTGTCGTCGATCGTTACTTCTTCGCCTTCTTTGCAGCCGCACTACACACACACGACACGATAATCAACACTCTTCCATTTGACACTATTTGACGTCTTGTTCTTAAATCGGACGTGGCCCTGTCGCGTCCTCACCCCAAGGACCCAAAGCCACCAATCCGACAGCAATCGGTCAACACCTATTCATCACCGCACGGCATTTGTTTGCCTACCCGCTTGGCCAACAAGGGTCTACCAATAGAATCAGCCATGTTGTTGAGCCTTCAGTCAGCCAAATCGTCGGGCCCGCTAAGAACCCTCCTCTTTTCTGCGCTGCCCTTCGAGGCTCCGATACCTTGACTCAGACAATCGCCGCGAGGAAAGAAATGAAATGATCGACAGTATTCGCCAAAATAAAGAAAGAGCTCGGGGCTTGCCTGCTTGTTGACGAACCCCTATCTCGGTATTCCCGTTTGGATTACATGGTCCAAGATCTTGGAGTTCCACCAAGAGCACTTACCTGGACAAGTCTCGTTGGCAGCACATTTGTCTACCAAAGATGCTCGGTCTGGAAGGGAACTGCCCTGTGCTGGCTAGAGGGAACCTTGTCTACAGCTCCTTGCTCAACCAGCCTTGCCAGAATTTTGGGATCAATCACGAACCACGATCGAGTGCAGCACTGCAGCGGCCTGCCATGCTCAGGTGGCCCGAGTTTTACGATACTTTGCGTCGGAACCCCCACATTGGAACTAGCAAGAGCCTTGTGGGATACTTTCGGCAAAAGAATCGTTCAATACCCATGGCACCACGGCTAATGGACAGCGCTTGTCACAGCTGCGCCGATCTCACATTGCCCTTCATTGTGAAACTCACGCCGGATCAACCTTTAAAGAATTGCAGACTGGCGGCGGCTTTCCTGCCTGTGTGGCAAGCCACGAGCATAACTGACAACATGGTAGTACAGTCAAGTAAACGATGCTAACAGTTCAATCCCGCTCAGCGACGCGCGATGGGAAGAACAACTCAACCGAGCGAGACACCTCCCAATCGAAAGGCCATGGTAATTACGGTGCGATACAGTATCCGTAATGGCCTTGCAACGGGACATCTTTCCGGACATAGGGATAATCACCATTCAACTACCCTTTCCCAGACGGCGGCCGTCCCTTACGAAATCCCATGTCTTGACTGACTCAAATGCATCACCCATTTGCGGCCCCAAATATGCTTGAGATTACATTTACATTGACTTCTAGGCAATACCGATCACTGGGTTCACTTCAAGGGGCAAGCAAATAACGCATGGAACATATGAGGAATTGCGACACTCCGCTCAAGTTGATTCTTTGATCATCTCTGCAGCCGTTCGACCTTTTACTACAGGGGTCGCGTCTGCTCAGCATTATCAAAGTCGAAGGCTCAGCCACACAGCAAGACTTAAGACCGAATTCTTAGATGCCTAGCTCCCTTGCGGTGCACCCTATCCATTTTTTATTCCCACACAGAACAGAACGCATCGACATTCGAGTCAAGTCCCCAGAAGAACATCCACTAACCTAGGAGGAGCACTCCATAAGAAAGAGATGCGAAAGACCACCACACAGTATCCGTAGACCAGCAAGCGTCAAGACTTTACATCGCACAGCTCATGTTCAGAGCGTCAGGCTCTCAGCAATGTTAGATCATCTCCGCCAAGAACCTCGCAGCTTCGGTCTGTTGTTGTACGGGTACTGGAATTGCCCGCTCTGTTTATTCCGAATACCTACGGAGTACTACTCAAACGCCTCACAGAACCTTGCTCGCGCTTCAAAAGACCCCAATCTGCATTGCAGGCCGGCCCTTGCAACCCGCTCTCTCCGGGATGCGGCAGCTTGCACATCATCATTAAACGCAAAAGAGTGGGTTTCTGTTAGTTGTCCCACGTGGAGGTTCGATGAAGGGAATCCGGCGGCGCCATGTCTAGGCGTGCATATCTCTCAACCTAGAAGGGAAAAGAATGAGACAAGCAAGACAAGTTAGCCGCTGGAGACATGACAGTTGAAGCTGGCCCAATGGAGTTCGTCTGCCAATGCAGTCATGGGCGTGTACGTACCTACATTGCTCCGTACGAGGCGCTTCGCGTTTGCTCATCTATCGAC